AAATAAAGTGCTTTTGCTTTCGCACTGAATCACACAGCGTCTCCCTGACATGGCTGCTTCAACACTACTGCTGTTCCTGAAACCACGCTTTCTTTCTTTGCGTGCACATTTGGGCGGTGTTATGCAAATCTTCCCACACAGTGCCGTAGACATGTGGGGGCGTGTTAGAACAAGCCGTTTTAGGTAGGCGTGGTTGACTCTTAACTTTTATAAAGAATATCTCTTTGGATTTGAGACTTTAGTCTTTGCAACTTTACAGATCTTCTTTATGCACCAAGAGCTTGTAACACTCCAAAGAGAAAGGAAAAATTGAAATCGCATCATATGACCCCTTTAAGACAGAATTTAAATTTTTGACTAAGCCAGTCCTTTGAGAAGTAGCCTGATTACATTTTGTCGACATACATAACTTGTATGCAATTCTCTCTGCTTTTATTTGGAATACAGAGCACGTCACTGAAATAATATGTAATCCGGTGGAAGCTATTAGTTCAGCTGCTGACTCATCTGTGTCTTATCTGTCAGGAATATTTAGTGCCGATGGTATGTACATATGTTCAATAATGGCATTTAAAAATCATTTATAAGCAGTTTAAAACACTATTTAGTTTTGATTTGCATTATATTGTTGTTTTTCCATCCAGGAGATTCAGGAATCACTGAAACAGTGAAATATGGGGGCACTGTATTGGATGAGGCTACAGAATGGATCAAATCCCCAGTGAGCTACGTATTCCACTTATTTGAAGGTACCTGCTTTACTAATCATGCTGAAATAATTGGTCGATGTGGTTCTGGGAGCTGACATGCAATTAGAGACTCATTATGTACAATAACTCAAAATAAATTATTAGTCTTATTAGCACTAATACCTGTTTAATGCTTTCTGTGCTTCAGACATTCTGGATATAGTGGTCGCTCCAGTGGATATGGTCAGTGAAGCTCTTGTACAAATTTTAAGTGGGATCAAGACTGTTATACAGTGTATTTCCACCATGTTTGGGGGCATTGAAGGTACTGCAAAGCACCAACATTGTATATATACACTCACAGAATCTATTTCATCTATATAGGTGCATGCATCTTGTCAATGATTCCCAAAATAAGCATTGATCCTGTATAATTTCTGTTTTTTGGACTTATTTTAACACTTAACAGGGGACACAGGCATCACTGAAACAGTGAAACTTGGTGGCACTGTATTGGATGAGGTTACTGACTGGATTAGATTCCCAGTGGCTTACTTATTCCACTTATTTGAAGGTACCTACATTACAGAAATAATTGGCTGTTGTTGTTTTGCAGGCTGACAGGCGATCAAAGACTCATGATGTGCTCTAACTCAATAAAATATTTCAATCAACATTTGAAATTCCCAAATGAGAAAGAAATGAGAAGAAATTAGTCATATTCGAGCATTTCAGTAAAACATGATTTCAGCTGCTCACTGACTTCTGTTTAATGCTTTACATGCTGCATAGATATCCTGGATGTAGCAATCATTTATCCAGCAGATATTGCCAGTGAAGCAGCTCTGCAAATTTTAAGTGGGATCAAGACCATTTCTTCAGCCATATTCGGGAACCTTGAAGGTATTTATTTCTTGCATCATTTTAGTCATTCAGTGATATAATTCACACAAAGTTACTGCATTTTTACTCAAATAAATGCAGCATTGGTGAGCCTAAGAAACGTTAAAAAAATTGCACTGACCCCAAACATTTGAACGGTAGTGTATATATATCAAAAAAGCTCAAATAAATGCACCTTGTCAATATTTCAGCTTGGTTTCCCAAAATGAGCACTGATCCTGCGGAGCTGGCTGAAATAGTTGTAGAGGAGGCCGCAGAAGTAAAGACCACCGTTTCTAATTACCTGTCCAGTCTGTTTGCAGCGGATGAAGGTATTGTTCATTTATCAGCTCAAAACATTGTGTTACATTTGTATTCAATATTTGATTTGTAAGAGTATTCAGTTGCGTTCTGTTATTTCGTTTTTCCCAGGTGGTATTCCTGACCTTAGCTTTGATCCCATGAAAGTTGTCACAGACACTGTTGAGGAGTTTGCTGACAGGAGGGATATGCTCTTGGCTTATCTCTCAAACATGCTCATGGAAGACAAAGGTATTCATCCTATCAAGTATATCACAAATGTATGCTTGTATATTAAAATAGTTATTTTTTTAACTATCCGTGTCATTCTCTGTTTCAGATGACACACCGCAAGTGATAAGACGAAAAGGTTTGTGTCAATATTCATTCATTCACTACTCAATACCTCTGTTAATATATAATATAATATGTTAATCTATCAATATTCCTAAATCTTCTCCAGGAGAATTTCTGCCCCCAATGGAAAAAGGTTAGTAAATGCACATTCTTTAATTTACATAAATGCTCTATATTAACACAAAACTAACACTAGTACTCAAACCTCAAGCATTTATAATGCAAGATCTTGAATTGACTAAAATGATAGTTTTCTGCTTCGTTGTCATCCCATGTCTATTGCACAGTTATGTTGTGTCTTACCCTGTTTCAGTCCATTTGGTAATTAGAACATTTAGAAAACAGTGATAGAGGTTATGTAATATGGTGCATGAAAAGGACCTGCATGACTGCATAAGGGATGATTGTCATTTATATTTTCTGTCTGTACTATAGTGTTAATTTTAATGTCCTGCACTCTCCATCTCACACAGTACTGCCCATGTTTCTTCACATTATGTAAAAATGTGTGTTTAATTTCTCTAGAATGGTTTAAAAGAAGGTGCATGACATATTTACCAAATACAAAAATAAAAAGTTTGTCAAATGCATTTCTTGCTGTTTGTTTTCCTGTCTCCTTCTTGCGGTGTAGTGCAATGTCTAACCTTCTCTGATACATTTGTCAGTAGATATTCTTCACAAACACAGCATGTAGGAATTCTTACCACAGTTATGGCACATGTTGCAAGAATATTGTGAATGTCACAATATTAATGCCCTGAGATTTTAAGCTGAGGTTGTGGAAAGAAATAGAGGGTTTCATTTCAAGTCGCTGCAGTCCTGATGCATAAAGTGTTTATTTAAAAATCTTCAAACAGTAGAGAATTGTGCTAGCAAGGTCATTCCTGAACTGATAAAATGTATACCTTGAATGCAGTGCAAGTCACTTTGGATAAAATTGCATAAATTTACACAAACGGTCTCAACGTTTCAGAATAACAAAATATAATCTTGGGTTTTGATGAAACTGGTAAAAATTGTTCAACTGAAGTTTTTTGTCAGGGCGTAACATGTGCATACTGTTAAAGTCATCAATGTGATGTAATTATGTGTTTCCAATCTGAACAAACTGTCGTGTCTCGCACATAAACTGGTAAATGTGTTTTTATCTGTAAAATGAGCTCAGTTCTGTCATAAACCTGAAATGAAAAATGACTTCATGAAACAGTTGCAGAAATACTAGGCAAAACACAGGACCCTGCCTATGCTGCCTACATTGCTGTGAGATCCACAGACAGTACTAAACAGGAAATAAAAGAGGTTGAGGAGGAACACGGTGAGGTAGAAGCTGCTGAAGATACAACTGAAAAAGCTCAAGATATTGTGGACATTACAACGGAGGAAGGGAGGGTTGAAACGGCTTGGGACAGCTCTGATGTCACAGTTGAAGACGATGAGGCTGCCTCCAATGTCATGGAGGAGGATAAAACTGCTGGAACAGTTGAAGATATTGCAGATGCTACAGAGAAGGAACCTTCTGTTATGCAAGAAGACATAGATGGGGAAATAGAACCTGAAAAGTTTGAGGATATCTCTGATTTTGCAGAGGACGAATCAACTGATATGGCCTCTGATGCTACAGATGTGAAGGACATGGATGATACTTCAGATGTTGTAACAGCAGATGATGAAGTTACTGAAACAGTTGGAGATATTTTGGATGTTACAGAGGAGGAACTTTCTGATATGGCAGAAGTCATAGGTGAGGCAAAAGCAACTGAAAAGGTTGAAGATATCTCAGATTTTGCAGAGGACAAATCAACTGAAATTACTGAATCTGATGCTACAGATATAAAAAACATTGACGATACCTCAGATGTCGTTACAGAGGAAGAAGAAGTTACTGAAACAGTTGAAGATGTAGATGTTACAGTGGAGGAAACATCTGATATTCCAGAAGTAATAGATGAGGAAATAGCAACAGAAAAGTTTGAAGATATCTCTGATTTTAAAGAGGACGAATCAGCTGAAAAGACCTCTGATGTGACCGAAGACATTGATGCTGTTACAGAGGAAGAAGTAGTTACTGAAACAGCTGAAGATATTCCAGATGTTACAGAGGAGGAAACATATGACATTCCAGAAGTCATAGATGAGGAATTAGCAACTGAAAAGGCTGATGATATCTTTGACTCCGTAGAGGACAAGTCAACTATGATAACCTCTGATGTGACAGAAGACACTGATTATACCTCAGATGTTGTTACAGAGGGAGAAGTTACTAAATCAGTTGAAGATATTGCAGATGTTACAGAGGAACCATCTGATATGCCAGAAGTCATCGACATGGATGATACATCAGATCAAGATACCTCTGCAGTTATAGAGGAGAAAGAATCAACTGAAACAATTGAAGAAGCAGCAATTGAAACAGCAGAAGGTACTTCCTATGTTACAACCAAAACTGAATTAGACAATACAGATGAAAATGAATTTCAGAAATATCCCAGTGTTACAGAGGAGGAGGAAGAACCTGAAAAAGTTAAAGATACTTCTGATTTCTTAGGTGAGGAAGAAGAACCTGAGACAGATGAAGATGCCAGCACTGAAGAAACAGCCGAAGAGTCACTAGAAAAAGAACAGCCACCTGAATTGGCTGAAGCTACTCCAGATACCATCTGTGTAAAGGAAAAGACTGAAGCAACAGAACTTGATGATCTTGAAGTCCTGGGTAAGGATGACATGAAAGTGGAAGGCAAGGAGGAGAAGGAAGATGTGGCAATTGCTGATGCTGAAAAGGGCACAAAGAACCTGGATCTAGATGAAGATGAGGTTGAGGTTTTAAAAGAGGAGACTAAAGATCAAACTATCTTGGGAACCACTGCTGGTGAAGATGACCATGATGATGAAGAGGAGCTTGTCCTTTCTCCTGTCCAGCAGGACCTAACAAGCAGAGATGATGAAAATAACAATAACAATGACAGGAAGAAAGATGCCATAAAAAGAGGCCTGAGCGGGAGAAAAACATCAAAGAGTCATTCCACTGAAACAGATGACCAAGAAGCGCACACGCATCTTCATGAAGGTATAGAAAAAGTTTGTATCCTTAACAAATAGGGAAAAGTGTTAGTTCAGTTGACAGATGACAACCAATGTGTCAATAGATGACCTTAATAACAAATTATAATTCACTTACCATGGGAAAATTGATCACTAAATTAAGACATTATTATTATTTTGTTAGTTTAATTTAACAATTTAATAAAATTAACTGTGCAGGATCCTAACATAGCTAACTACCTAAAAATATGCCTTCATATTCCCCTTATAATTCCACATTAAACAATGTTGTATAAATAACATTATATGTAATATAACTGTCAATGTATTAGTAGCGCCAGCTATACAATAGTTCTAGACCAATCATTTGATTGGCCAAGCAGTGTTTAAATTCTTGTTTGAATTCTATGGGCCACAACTAAACTGCTTGTTGGCCAAGTACAAATGAACTACTCAGGGCCATAATGCATCTGAAATGTCAGTTACTCCATAGTTGTAAGCTGTATATCTATAGGTAGCCTATATCTATACATCACAGTGATATTGCATCAGTTTTGAAGAACACTGTTATCACTCGTCTCTTACAATTTGGACTTGGAAGAAGAACAAACTGATGGATGAAGATGAAGTTTCATTCACTGTTGCTTCTACTTCACCTCTGCTTCTGGAAAGATTCTTAAAAGAGGAGCAAAAACACAGCTGGAGGATTCTCTAAAGGACTCTGCTGCTGTACAAGTTTCTATATATAAAACTAGAGAGAGCTATTTGATGTTATTGATCAATTACACATTGCGCACTGTAAGAATTGTAGCATATTTGTTCAATATTTTTTTCTTAGGAAAAGTCCACAAAAATGGTGTTTGCTTTTATGTAATGTTATATATAGGGTATTTTTCTCTTTTTTTGTGTAATTTAGAATTACTTTCTCAAATCAAATCAGTAGGAAAAATTAAAACCATACAAAATACTTCTTTGCACTGATTTGTAAATAATTTCAGTGATTATTTGCAAAGCTGTTTATGTTGCTTAATTGAATGATTCCATTAAGATAATTAATTATTTTATTTATCCATTATCCATTATTAATTTTAGTTTGCCATCTAACACAATGACATGGCTGAAAACTACTTTGCTGCTTTACAAGTACTATTAATGTTCAATTAACACACTTATAGTGCACTAATTCATGTTCTAATTCTCATTGTTCATTAATCATGTGGATGTTAAAACCTGTAACTTTCATTTAACATTTACTCATGATTTCAGTTCTTGAACAAGTGAAAGAAGCCAAAGAGAAAAAAGCTAGAGAGGAGATATACAAAATCATTCAAGGTGAATGGTTTGTTGTTTTCTTCAGCGCTTGCACACCGTAAAATACAGTGCTTGTGCAGAATGAAAACTGCAATTTAAGAGAAAACTGATAGAACTGTGACTCATTATCTTTTCTGTTCTTCCAGATATGAGGGAGAAGAAGGCTGATGGTGAAGAGGAAGAGATAACACTACAACAAATAAACATAACAGTAGAAAAAGTCAAGAAAAAAAAAGAACATGAGAAAAAGGAGATAGAAAAAGCTAAAAGAAAAGAAAAATCCAAAGAGGACAAGACTCGAGAACCAACAAGTAAGACTGATAAATCATACTGAACTTATCTACTTAATGTATAGGATATCTAATTTCTCTTTTGTGAAAAGCTCAACATCCACATTTAGGTTGTAGATTGCTCTGTTCTTCACGATGAAGGTTGAAGGCTACGTTCAGCCCACTGCTACGGACCTACAGTTGCTTATAGATTACATGTAAAACCACACACCTCTGTTTCAATAGATAATATATGTGTACTATGTATGTGAAATGTGTTCTAGAAAAGGACACCAAGAAAAAACCTGACAAAAAGGTCAAGGTGACTAAAGTGGATGAGGAACCTCTAAAAAAGAAGAAATCTGGTACATGATGCACTAACGGCAAAAATAGATAAATAAAGCTTTGCTTGCTCATTACACTGTCTGAGGGTTAATGTACAGTTTTTAATTGAAACACTATATATTTCAGCTTTAGTCCATTATAATGTTTATTTTGATATTTAATTTAATTTTTTGTAATAGAAAATAATGCTACAGTAGTTTTTATATGGACTCTCACATGATCATCATGCATTTTTACAAAAAAAAACTCAATACAAAATGTAATATTACGAAATTCTAATGTATACAATTTCGTATGCGCAGGACCTGAGAAAAAGGTTAAACCAGCAAAGAAAGGTATTCAACACATCCTGTTCATGGACAATATATTTTAATGTTGTTGTTGTTTTTTGGAAATAAAATTTCCCACAAAGTCCACAAACATTCCTAAATGTAATATATCGCACAGAAACCAAAAACCAAAATTGTGAAACAAAATGATGTATTTTATGCATGTCTATAACAGCCAGCTCACCGCCCAATGTTGTTGTTGTTTTTTGGAAATAAAATTTCCCACAAAGTCCACAGACATTCCTACATGTAATATATCGCACAGAAACCAAAATTGTGAAACAAAATGATGTATTTTATGCATGTCTATAACAGCCAGCTCACCGCCAACTATTGTTTCTATTGTGTCATAGATGTTGAGATGGCCAAGGACAAAATCAAAGCAGTACCTGTAAAGAAAGGTATGTATCTTGTGTGATAATTGATGTTCCGTTTGGTAAATTCTGAATTAACAGGAAATAAATGTAATGCTTATTTCTCAGAAGCTGAAGTGGCCAAAAAAGAGACCAAACCAGCACCATCTAAGAAAGGTATTGTGTTGTGTGTTCTTGCTTTACTGAGCACACATAATAAAGCAAATTCATAATTAAAGCACATTATGTGTACACTACCTTTTTAAAGTTTGGGGTCTGTTAGACTATTTATGAAATAAATTAATACTTTTAAATGGATCAAATTTCACTGTAAAGACTTTTATATTGTCTTAATTTTTCTCCACTCATTTGCAGAGCCCGAAGTTACAAAAGAAAAGGCCAAACCAGCTCGTTCAAAGAAAGGTATCACAATGCATATTTAAAGTCTCTCATGCTGCTACTCCCATTTTAGATGCTTTCTTTCATTTAGAGGATGCACTTAAAGTAACAGAAATTCATTTAAAAGCTATTTTTATGCATGACATTAGCTGAGCCTGCTGTCTCATTTTCAGAGCCTGATGTTTCTAAGGAGAAAGAAAAACCACCAACTGCCAAGAAAGGTAATATGAAAATATGTGTCCTTGATGAATTTTTGTCAGTCTCATATATAATTTATTAAATATATACCTCCATCTTCTCTGAAAGTTACAAAAGAAAAGGCCAAACCAGCTCGTTCAAAGAAAGGTATCACAATGCATATTTAAAGTCTCTCATGCTGCTACTCCCATTTTAGATGCTTTCTTTCATTTAGAAATAAATCACATCCTGCAAAGAAAGTTCTTTTCCTGTCTGAAGTATTCACATTTTTGTAGAAAAATCTGATGTTATCAAAGAAAAGGCAAAACCAGCTCCAAAAGAAAAGGGTATGCTTGTGCTGTAAAAATAAAAATCAAGTTTATCATACAAAGTTGTGTTTGTATCAGAGATAACATATTTTGTCTTTTAGTTGCTGAGGTTGTCAAGAAAAAAGCTAAGCCAGTAAAGAAAGGTACTTTGTGTTGTATATATTACTATTTATGAAGCTTTGCGTAAGTTAACAGATTATATTAACGGTTTGTTTCAAATGTTTACAGAACCTGAGGTTATTAAAGAAAAGGTCCAGCCTGCACCTTCAAAGAAAGGTACAAAGCTTGCATGTTCATCTGTAAGTTAAGGGTTAGAGATCCCTTTCTCAATAACTTTGGGGTTGATGATCACACTGTAACTTTCCTCACCTTACGCATGCTTATTCAGTTTTAAAATCCATATGGGCTACATGGATGATGCAAACCAAACAACATATTTAACTAGTAAAATTTTATTGTAATACAACTGAAGATTCATTGAAACGTTTTACGTCTTCTTATTTCATATTACAGCTGAAGCTCCCAAGGAAAAAGCTAAACCTGTGAAGAAAGGTATGTTTTTTTTCCTGTTTCTCCTTAAGTATTTTCTAATCAGTTTTATTGTACGATGTAATGTATGCCATGCATTGCTGCAAACTGAAGCTGCAAAAACAAAACTGTTAAAGCAAAAAGAGCTACTATATTTAAGATTTTAACCCCTGACCTTTAAAAAATGTTTACTAAATATACATTGAAAGTACGTACATTTTTTTATTATTTCAAAAGCTGAAGCCAAGGATAAACCACCAGCACCTGTTAAAAAAGGTAATTGTGTGCTGTTTACATTTGTTTTTGAGGTAAAAAAAAAACCCGCTGAATGTATCTTTGCTTATGTATTGTAATTATATTTACTTCTAGAAGCTGAAGTCGCTGTCGAAAAAGCAAAACTTGCTCCTGTAAAGAAGGGTAAGACATTCCACAGACAATCAATGCCATTCTAAACAAAATGCAGTGTTTTTCTATGTGTCATAAACTGCTGATGTTGATGAAATTACAGAGCCTGAGGTTCCCAAAGAGAAGGCCAAACCGGAGCCCTCAAAGAAAGGTAAAAAGAGAAGGCAAAACCAGCTCTTTTGAGATTCCAAAACCTGAACTATAAATCTAATTTTCGTGCATTTAATTCTTGCTCTTATTCTATGGTATGGTATTATCTACTATTTTAGCTAGCATTGAATTTTGAAGAAACCAGTAACAATAACATATTGATGCATTTTAGCAGCTGAAGAGAAAGAAAAACCTGTCCCTGTGAAGAAAGGTATGTTATTAAACTTATATTAATAATAGTTTTTTCATTGTATAATGTGTTGTTTGAAATAGTTTTTACAGCCTTGCTCTTACATACAGTATATAGATTCAAATGGAAATAGCATGTCTTTTGTGATGACCTGTTACTGTTTATGTAAAAAAAAAAACAGGGAAAAAAAGTTGAAGACAAAGCAAAACCAGCACCACAAAAGAAAGGTGCAACCTTTTATCTACTAAATTCAAATCTAAACAAATAATGTGATTCCATACTTTTAGCCGAAGCCCCCAAAGAGAAAGAGAAAGCTGGTCCAGTAAAGAAAGGTATCACATTTTGAACTCTAAATTATGTATTTAATGTTAGAATAATTATATTTTATTGGAAAATATTTTCACAGATTTAACTGCCCATATACACGTAGTCAGTTAAAGAGCCTCAGAGGAAAAATTGAAATCAGCAAGTTGAAATGCTTTTCTCTTTTCTTATTTATTCAGAGGCTAAAGCTCCCAAGGACAAAATTAAACCGGCCCTTTTGAAGAAAGGTAGGATGCACTTAAAGTAACAGAAATTCATTTAAAAGCTATTTTTATGCATGACATTAGCTGAGCCTGCTGTCTCATTTTCAGAGCCTGATGTTTCTAAGGAGAAAGAAAAACCACCAACTGCCAAGAAAGGTAATATGTAAATATGTGGCCTTGATCAATTTTTTTGTCAGTCTTATATATAATTTATTGAATATGTACCTCCATCTTTTTCAGAAGGGAAGCCAACAACTGCTCCTGTTAAAAAAGGTAATTAGTAATTTTCCTTTCTTAAATTTATCGATGAGTGCATTGTTCCAATCTTAAACCTACTTCTCCTTGAATTGTAGAGCCTGCAGTTGCAGAAGAGAAAGTCAAACCAGTACCTTCAAAGAAAGGTTAAAAAAAACTATTTTCAAGTATTAACATTTTAACTAGTCGTTATTCATTACTTCACTTTCTAATGCATGCAGTTATGATCATTTCAGATACTGAAGCTACTAAGGAGAAAGTGAAACCAGCCCCAGTTAAGAAAGGTACAGATTGATTTTATTGGACATATTTTTGCAATGTTAATGATGCTAACTGCTTACATCCACTAATGTACAGAGCCTGAGGTTTCCAAAGAAAAAGCCAAGCCAGAACCTTCAAAGAAAGGTAAAATGATTGCAGTTGTTTTTATATTTCAACATGCATACCTTAAAATGGTTATTACATACAGAAAAATGATTGAATCTTGCACAGAGGCTGAAGCTGTTGAAGAGAAGGCTGAACCAGCACCAGCTAAAAAAGGTAAAGTGCTCATGCTCTGTATTTGAGAGGGTAATAGTAAAAGATCTTGATAGTTTAATTAATTTCACGAGATTGATTTTCTGAAATATAATCCTGTAAATGCAGGATAATAAGGTGCAGGTTTGTTTGATAAGAAAACTTTCTGAATATTTTACATTACTTAAGCATGTACATTAGAGCTACATAAATATTTTACCAAGCAGTTTGACTTGATTTTTAGAACCTGAAATTATTAAAGAAAAGGAGAAACCTCCAAAGAAAGGTAATCATTTTCAAATGTGAAAAGATGCACAAGGTACTACTCTTGTGTTCATGTAATTTGGAAATAAATGTTGATGTTAAACTTTTTATTCTTTTAGAAGCTGTAAAAGAAAAGCCCAAACCTGCTTCTGTAAAGAAAGGTATTTATACTACTTAACAAGTGTTTATTTCTGGCCAGTAACAAGTTAAAACCTTACCTGTTTATATCAAGACAAAGAGGGGATCTTTAATTATTTGTTTTATCTGAATATGAGCGCATGAAACACTCCACTGAATATGTTGTTGATTTTCCATTTTTCACAGAACCTGAAGTTCCAAAAGAAAAAGCAAAACCTGAACCTACCAAAAAAGGTTGTCTAAATAGTTTATCATGTTTTTGAAGTGGTTCAGTGTTTTGTGCATAGATTTTTCTTTTGTTGTGTAAAAATATATTCTGTATAATATTATATATTTCAGAGGCAGAAGTTGCCAAGGACAAACTTAAACCTGTCGCAGTGAAGAAAGGTATGGATAAGTCTGTGATTACAGTATAATTGCTATACAACATTAAAAAGGAAAAGGAAATGTTAAACCGAACCTGGAAATCTGGGAGAATGATTTTAATAATAATTGAAATAATTGTTTTGCAGAACCTGCTGTTGCAGTTGAAAAGGCAAAACCTAAACCTGCACCAAAGAAAGGTATACTATTATTTTACAGTTTGTATGGCAAAATTACAAAATCAGTTTTTCTAAGCATAGTTTCAGAGACTGAAGCTGCTATAAAGGCATGTCTTTGCTGAACTGTTTTAAAACTGAAATATCATTCTATTTGTAGAACCTGAAGTTACCAAAGAGAAAGCCAAACCAGAACCTGCAAAGAAAGGTATCACATAAGGATGCAGTATATGCAGTAAATGTTTGCAAAATTTACTACCAGGCAAGACTAATAAAGCAATAAGCCCCAAGAAGCCGTGGTTTACAGTGAATTTATAACAGCTAAGGGGCGTTAACGCTTAGCTGTTATAAATTCACTGTAAACCACGGCTTCACGGTGCTTTTTGCTTTTATAACACGGTTATTCCATATACGTAGTACAGTTTCACAAAATAAAACAGAGCAAATAAAGTGTAATGATATTAATAAAAACATTATTTTTCCCTCATACAATGTAGTTCCTCAGAATCAGTTGAGGTTGCAACAAAGTGGTTGCCAAGCAACAGACAAATGTAAACAAAGGTGTATGTTTGTAGAGTAATTTACAACAGCTTAGAACGTGGCTCAGCCAAAAAGGACCGGAACTATCCGTTTTGTAATGCGTGTCATATTCCAAGCTTTTTTATGTTTCATAAATTCCTTGTTTTGCAGAACCTGAGATAACCAAAGAAAAACCCAGGGCACCAAAGAAAGGCATGTAACATTATTTGTGAGAACAATAATGTTGTATTAATATTTTCTCCTGTTAGGTTTTAAGACAATGATTGTGTTTTGCTTGCTTTGTTTTCATCATCACAATGTAAGAGGCTGAAGTCATCACGCAGAAATCACATATTCTACAAACACATTAAAAAAATTATGCTAAAGAAAATAATTTATAGTATCAAAATATTTACTCGTCATTGATATTTCAGAGGCTAAAGTTGTCAAGGAGGAAGCTAAACCAGCTCCTGTAAAGAAAGGTATTGTTGTTAAGCGAAATTAGGAGTCAAATTAACATTTCCCCCAAAAAATTAAAGAACATTTATGCTAAAAAGCCATTTTGTTTCCTCTTTTTTATCATTTCAGAGGCTGAAGTCATCAAAGATGTTAAACCAGCCCATGAGAAGAGAGGTTTGAGTGACCATTATTAGCCATTATTGTTAAATATCAATAAAAAAATTATCCAAGGACGTTTAAACATAATGCTAAAGAAAACCTTTTACAATATCTAAATATTTTCACATCATTGCCATTTCAGAGGTCATCAAGGAGAAAGTTAAACCAGCTCCTGTAAAGAAAGGTATGGATGTCAATGAAATCATCCTGTATATGCTGTTGTTTTCTACTGTAATGATCTTTTTTTTTTTGCATTAAAACTACTTTACAGAGCCTGAATTTGCTAAAGAAAAGACACCTGAATCAAAACCCAAAATAGGTTAGTGCCTGAACCTTTAAAAACATTTACTGAATATTTTACATTTCATCAGCACTCAGTTTAATTGTTCTATAGAGAGATACTTTATCCTACCATTTCAAGTTGCTTGACATTGTTGAGTAAATTATTCATCTGTTTTATAGAGCCTGAAGTTATCAAAGAGAAACCAGCACCTCCAAAGAAAGGTAGATACAGTATATGCTTTATCAATATTTACAGCAATGAATACTAGATTAGACTGAATCTCATACAGATATCATACAGAAGTTTTCCAACTTATCCTTGTAACCCCTTACAGCTGAGGTTCCAAAGGAAAAGGCAAAGCCAGTCCAAGAAAAGAAAGGTGTATATATATCCAGTTAGCCTTAAATAAAAAATCACTTTAATTTATTATGTGACACTGTATCATTAATTAAATAACACATCTGCTAATGTAAAAAAGACAATTCTGACTGTTCTTTACTGCTGTGCTTTCCAGCACCTGAAATAATCAAAGAAAAACCAAAGCCAGCTCCAAAGAAAGGTATCTAAGTATAATGTCAAAATCTTTTGTCCGGCCAGTTTTAAGACAATGCTAATGCTTTAAAATATTCATATAAACTTCATTTTAGAAGCTGAAGTCATCAAAGAGAAAGTAAAACCAGCCCCTGAGAAGAAAGGTTTGAGCTACCATTATTGAAACTTTTTATATTTTTATTATCCATTTCATGTATGCTTCCGTTTCCTCAGATTGACATTTTACACAAGCTAATCACATTTCAAATTGCCTATTTACAATTACTCTACTACATTTATTTATAGAGGCTGAAGTCATTAAGGAGAAAGTAGCTCCTGTAAAGAAAGGTATGAATATGAATGAAACAATCATATACTTTAGATTTCAGCTGTATGATGATCATTCATCACATAACATGTTATTGTCTCATAGAGCCTGAAGTTGCAATAGAAAAGGCACCTGAACCAAAACCGAAACCCACAGAGAAAGGTGGTATTATACTATATATAAAATTTGCAGTTTTGAAAAAATACCTCATAAGCATATTTTCATATCAATTAACCTTGTGATGTCTTTTCAGTTGAGGTTCCAAAGGAAAAGGAAAAACCAGTTTCTGAAAAGAAAGGTACATATCTAGTTTACCTGTCGATTCAAAATCCCTTTTACTAATTATGTAATGCAGCACCTTATTGATTGAGATCTATACATCTGCAAATTTTAAAGTTAAACACTTTTTTTTTTGCAGCAGCAGAACCTGAAATAGCCAAAGAAAAACCCAAACCTGTGCCAAAGAAGGGTAAATAAACAGTTTTTCCACTGGCCTTTTATAAGATACTGCTAATCATTTGCATTTGTCTTTATTATTCTTTTTTTTTTTTAAATATGTATTTTAGAGGCTGAAGTCATCAAAGAGAAAGTTAAACCAGCTCCTGAGAAGAAAGGTTTGATTTGCTGTATTAAGTATTAAATTACCATTTTCTGTAACAACATGTATGATTAAACATTATGATGATTTTAGAGCCTGAAGGCATTAAGGAAAAAGTTAAACCAGCTCTTGAGAAAAAAGGTGAGTTCATTTTGATATTTTATCTCAGCGGTTTTAAAGATAATATTAAAAAAAAAAAAAAAAAACTTCATATAAAGACATACATTGACATTGACATTATCTTAGCTTCAGAAGTGGTTTCACTTTGTGGTAAAGATAAAGCTAATAAACACATTTTACGATAATGCGAAAAAGACATGAACTATCTCTAAATATTCTTAAAATATCGCCATTTCAGAGGCTGAAGTCATCAAGGAGAAAGTTCAGCCAGCTCCTGTAAAGAAAGGTGCATGAATTTAAATGAAATCCTCCTGCATATGCTGATACTCTGCTGTATGATGAATCGCATGAATTAAATCAGATTAATTTTAAACACTTTAGCCTGAAGTTGCAGTAAAAAAGGCTCCCGAACCAAAACCCCAAAAAGTTGAGATGTCTTCTCACAATTCTTTTTTGAGACATTGGTCAATCAAATAAAAACAAAAATTAAATAAAGTGATTTATTGTGCTTGTTAACATTAGATTAAATATGTGCATTAAACTGCATTATTTAAAATTGCTCTGTTTTGCTTTGTAGAGCCTGAAGTTACTAAAGAGAAAGCTAAACGGACCCCTGGGAAGAAAGGTTTGATTTACTTTGTGTTCAATTTTCATTGTAGTTATCAGAATGTAATTCTTTCTCTAAACATATTTGCAATATGATTATTATAGAGGCTGAAGTCATCAAGGAGAAAATTAAACCAGCCTCTGTAAAGAAAGGTATGGATATGAAATCATCCTGTGTATATACTGTTGTTTTCAATGTATGATGATTATTCATAACACAAAACCATGTTTGCATCTTAAATGACCTGCTAATTTGTGAATGCATAGCAAGTACTGTCAATTTATTGACTCTAGTCACTTGGCTTTTATAAATATTGCAAAGCACATTATGATAATTCATTCCATGAGAAGTCTCAACTCAAGTTCTCCTTTATTAACATTAAACTCTTCTGTTTTGCAGAACTTGAGATCATTAAAGTAAAACCCAAGCCAGCACCAAAGAAAGGTATGCCTACTTACATTTATTTGTGTTTACACTATCTCTCAGATAAATGTAATATGTTAAAATGTTTTGCAACATTTTAGAGGCTGAAGTCATCAAAGAGAAAGCTAAACCAGCCCCTGAAAAGAAAGGTAGAAGTTATCATTTCATGCGTGCTTTCATCCAAACTTAAAAATCAAGTTAATATGTTGCCTTAAAAATTAAAATAGAAAATAGAATCTTTCACATTCTCTAAATATTTTCTCATCAGAGGCTGAAGTTAAGGAGAAAGCTAAACCAGCTACTGTAAAGAAAGGTATGGATGTCAGTGACATTATCTTGCATTGCTTGATTTTGACATTATAATGATCAAATATCACATGCAAAAATACTGTTTTATAGAGCCTGAAGTTGCTAAAGAAAAGGCTCCTGAACCCAAACCCAAAAAAGGTGAAAAGTTTTTCCCATAGGCCTTTTAGAACATTTTACATTTGTATCAGAAATATGGTTGGTCTAATTATAGCAACAACAAAAAAAAAAATCATTGTTTGACATGATGAAACTTAAATATCCTTCTGTTTTGTGTTTTATAGAACCTGAAGCTGTTAAAGAGAAAGCTAAACCAGTACCTAAGTTGAAAGGTTTGGTTTACTGTGTTAACAATTAAATGAACAATGTCTGTGAGCAATATTTTGCTAATAATATGTTAAAATTATTTATATTATCAATATTTTAGAAGCTGATGTCATCAAGGAAAAATCTAAACCAGCCGCTGAGAAGAAAGGTAGACATTATCATGTGTGCTTTTACCCCAAGTTAAAATTAATATTTTCCCTCAAAAAATATAACATAATATGTTTTTTAAATGTTCACATACTTTTCTTTCAGAGGCTGAAGTCATCAAGGAGAAAGCTAAACCAGCTCCTGTAAAGAAAGGTGGGGATATCAACAACAGTTTCTTGCATTGCTGATTTTGACATTATAATGATCATTTATCACATGTACAAATACTGTTCTAAAGAGCCTGATGCTGTTAAAGAAAAGGCTTCAGAACCAAAACCCAAAATAGGTGAGTTTTTTTCCTCTCAGTTCTTTTTGCATTGTAAACTTTGACCAAAAATATGGTCAATCTATTTATATTTTAACTGGTTAACATGAAACTGAAATATTCTTCTGTTTTCTGTTTTGTAGAGGCTGAAGTCATCAAAGAGAAAGCTAAACCTGTCCCTAAGAAGAAAGGTTTGATTAACTCTCAACTATCAGTTTGAATTTTTTATAAGCAAATTGTGATACAAATAATATATAAATATTTGTATATTATCATCATTGTAGAGGCAGAAATTATTGAGGAGAAAATTAAACCAGCTCCTATAAAGAAAGGTGTGGATTCAGTTAAAAAATCTGCACGTTGATGATTTGATAACGTATGATGATCATTTATCACAACAAACCATTCGGTTTTACAGAGCCAGAGGTTCCTAAAGAAAAGGAACTTGAACCAACACCAGAACCTGCAAAGAGAGGTATTATATGCGTGTTTTTCTGGTTATCTGTGTGATTTTGAATACTTGAAAGTTATGTTTCAGTTTTTAAGGTTTTGCTCTGAAACATTCATATCTATCTTCCAAAACCTTTCAGTTGAAGCTCCAAAGGAAAGGGCGAAACTAGTCCCTAAAGAAAAAGGTACACATTTAGTATATGACCTAATACTGCTGATTTATCAAAACAGTCAATTATGGCTTGTTTATATTTGCTAGTATTACAGAAATGTGTGTTACAGGATATTTGACAACTTATGTGTTAACTTATAACATCACAGCTGCTATTTAAAGATAATATCTGAAGTTAAACCTTCATGTTTTGCAGCACCTGAGATAACTAAAGAAAAACCAAAACCAGCACTAAAGAAAGGTACTGCAATTTTTCATAAGAATAAAGCCATAAAAGTCCCTGATTTTAAGTAAATGCTAATACTTTTATGTCATAATCATGTTAGAGCCTGAAGTCAAGGAAAAGGCTAAACCAGCCCCTGAGAAGAAAGGTAAGAGTTAACTCTTTTTTTTTTTTTTTTTTTCCTGGTGTTAAAGATGAAGTTATAATTTTCTCATAAATATATTTTACGATCTCTTATATTATCTCATACCTCTCATTATCATTGCTATTTCAGAGGCTGAAGTCATCAAGGAGAAAGTTAAACCAGCTCCTGTAAAGAAAGGTATGGCTATCAATGAAATCGCAATGTGTTACTGTTGCCTTTCCGTTACCGCTGACACAATTATCACATGGAAAAAATACTGTTTTATAGAGCCTGAAGTTCCTAAAGAAAAAGCTCCTGAACCAAAACTCAAAAGAGGTGAGTTTGTATGGAGGACAAAACCTGCAAAAACAATAAATACACAAATAAATAAATAAATATGCAAATAAATAAATAAATGTGTGTATAAATACATAAATTCTTGTTTAAATATATATAGAAATAATTAAACGTGATTAAAGTAGGCAAATAAATAAAATAAATTGGTGGGAAAATGGAAAATGTTTAAGGAAATGCTAAACTCATCCTATTTATTTTCCTTTGATCACTCATTTATTTCTGAATGTAGTTCCACATTTATTTTTCCTCTGCGCAACATGCTAATGAGAGGGTGTCAACCATGGACTTAGTCTGGGTCATGTCATAGCTGGGGGCGCGGCTTTCCCGCTGACAGGAAATGCATGGTGTTAATCCAGTATGGCCTACGTAAAGTCACTTTTTCCGTTCAACAGAGCAAGATACATAAAGAAACTGAGCTGTATTGTCCGTACAGTATCTGTGACTTTAAAAACGACCTAACGAAATGGCCAGTGTCGTTTCCTGACGTCATTTTTTGTAACCCAATTGAGTCTCCAGCTCTAGAGACAACTGTAATATCAGTATGCCCTGGTCATCGTGAGATTATTCACTTTATCCGTGGAATAAGGGCTCGTTCTTTTGATGGCAGCTAGTGTTTATTAGGATGGTTTTACCTGCTCGTTGACCTCCATAAGTTTGCACATAATATGTGTTTTAATGTAAACTTTTCCCCTTGCAGATTAATATAAAACTCTAATATATGTATTTTGTTTTCTCTAAATGTTTATATTTTTAAAATTTTAGTACCTGAAGTCATCAAAGAGAAAGTAAAACCAGCCCCTGAAAAGAAAGGTTTGATTTTGTTTGATTTTAAATGAACACTATCAATGAGAAAAAGGTTTATGCTAAAAACTGTTTATCTTTTCAGAGGCTGAAGTCAAGGAGAAAGCTAAACCAGCCCCTGAGAAGAAAGGTACAGGAAGAGTTAAGAGTTTTTTTTTTTACATGGTGTAATTTTATCCCGTGTTAAGGATGAATTTAATATAAGATTTTACGATCTCTAAATATTATCATTGCCATTTCAGAGGCTGAAGTCATCAAGGAGAAAGTTAAACCAGCTCCTGTAAAGAAAGGTATGAATATCTTTTCATTAAATCATTCTGCGTATGTTGTCACTTTCCCCTGTATAATGATTAAATTATCACATGAAACAATACTGTTTTGCAGAGCCTGAAGTTCCTAAAGAAAAGGCTCCTGAACCAAAACCCAAAAAAGGTGAGCTTATTTCCCAACCCAAGAAGATAATGTCATTTAAAAAAAGTAATGTAAACTTTTTATCCTGGCAGTTTAGCGTAATACTCTAATACTTTTCCCCTTGCAGATTAGTATAAAACTCTAATATATGTATTTTGTTTTCTCTTTAATGTTTGTATTTTCACATTTTTAGAAGTAGAAGTCATCAAAGAGAAAGTAAAACCAGCCCCTGAGAAGAAAGGTTTGATTTACTGTTAACATTATCAATGAGGAAAAAAACTAAGATTGTTTAAAAAATAGTCCCCACTAATTTCTACATTATTCCTTTTTTAGAGGCTGAAGTCATCAAGGAAAAAGTTAAACCAGCTCCTGTAAAGAAAGGTATGTGTGTTTGTGAAATCAGCTTGTGTTGCTGTTACACAACTGTATACTGATGAAATTATTACATGAAAAAATACTGTTTTATAGAGCCTGACGTTCCTAAAGAGAAGGGACCTGAACCAAAACCCAAAAGAGGTGATTTTTTTTCTCAACACAGGTTGATAATCTGTGCTTCATGTAAACTTTTTGCCCAGTTTAGTGTAGTACATTAAAACTGTATTATATGTATTTTATCATCTCTGAATATGTTTATATTTTGACAATTTCAGAAGTCATCAAGGAGAAACCTAAACCAGTGCCTGAAAAGAAAGGTAAGAGTTACCGATATTGTGGATTGATATGTGCTCAAATTAAAGACGAATCTCAAATTCACTCAAATTCAATGATGATACTAAAGTTTTCTCATTCTGTAAAAATGTTCATCATTTCAGAGGCTGAAGTCATCAAGGAGAAAGTTAAACCAGCTCCTGTTAAGAAAGGTATGAATATCAGTGAAATCATCCTGCATATGCTGTCACTTTCCACTGTATATTGATAAAATTATCACATGAGAAAATACTGTTTTATAGAGCCTGAAGTTCCTAAAGAAAAGGCCCCTGAACTAAAACCCCAAAAAAGTAGATTTTTTTTTCAACACAGACCGATAATGTGTGCTTTCATTGTAAACTTTTTAGAGTTTTAGAGGAGTACATTGACACTGTATTATATGTATTTAGACATCTCTGAATATGTTTATATTTTAAAATTTTCAGAAGTCATCAAGGAGAAACCTAAACCAGTGCCTGAAAAGAAAGGTAAGAGTTACCGATATTATTGATTGATATGTGCTCAAATTAAAGGCAAATCTCAAATTTACTCAAATTCAATGATGATACTAAAGTTTTCTCATTCTGTATATATTTTCATCATATCAGAGGCTGACGTCATCAAGGAGAAAGTTAAACCAGCTCCTGTAAAGAAAGGTATGAATATCAGTGAAATCATCCTGCATATGCTGTCACTTTCCACTGTATATTGATCAAATTATCACATGAAAAAATACCGTTTTATAGAGCCTGAAGTTCCTAAAGAAAAGGCCCCTGAACCAAAACCCCCAAAAAGTTGATTTTTTTTTCAACATGGACCGATAATGTGTGCTTTCATTGTAAATTTTTTAGAGTTTTAGAGGAGTACATTGACACTGTATTATATGTATTTAGACATCTCTGAATATGTTTATATTTAAAAAATTTTAGAAGTCATCAAAGAGAAACCTAAACCAGCACCTGAAAAGAAAGGTAAGAGTTACCGATATTGTGGATTAATATGTGCTCAAATTAAAGACTAATCTCAAATTTACTCAAACTCAATGATGATACTAAAGTTTTCTCATTCTGTACATATTTTCATTATTTCAGAGACTGAAGTCATCAAGGAGAAAGTTAAACCAGCTCCTGTAAAGAAAGGTATGAATATCAGTGAAATCATCCTGCATATGCGGTTTTTTTCCCTCTGAATGATGACTGTTGTATGATGATGGTTATTATATTCATGAATTAAAACCGTTTTCTAGGGCCTGAAGTTGCTAAAAAAAAAGGACCCTGAACTAAAACCCCCAAAAAGTTGATTTTTTTTTTCAACACAGACCGATAATGTGTGCTTTCATTGTAAACTTTTTAGAGTTTTAGAGGAGTATATTGACACTGTATTATATGTATTTAGACATCTCTGAATATGTTTATATTTAAAAAATTTCAGAAGTCATCAAGGAGAAACCTAAACCAGTGCCTGAAAAGAAAGGTAAGAGTTACCGATATTGTCGATTGATATGTACTCAAATTAAAGACTAATCTCAAATTTAATCAAACTCGATGATACTAAAGTTTTCTCATTCTGTAAATATTTTCATCATTTCAGAGGCCGAAGTCATCAAGGAGAAAGTTAAACCAGCCCCTGTTAAGAAAGGTATGAATATCAGTGAAATCATCCTGCATATATGCTGTTTTTTTCCTTTGAATGATGACTGTTGTATGATGATGGTTATTATATTCATGAATTAAAACCGTTTTCTAGAGCCTGAAGTTCCTAAAGAAAAGGCCCCTGAACCAAAACCCCCAAAAAGTTGATTTTTTTTTTCAACACAGACCGATAATGTGTGCTTTCATTGTAAACTTTTTAGAGTTTTAGAGGAGTATATTGACACTGTATTATGTATTTAGACATCTCTGAATATGTTTATATTTAAAAAATTTCAGAAGTCATCAAGGAGAAACCTAAAACAGTGACTGAAAAGAAAGGTAAGAGTTACCGATGTTGTGGCTTGATATGTGCTGAAATTAAAGGCTAATCTCAAATTTACTCAAATTCAATAAAGATACTAAAGTTTTCTCATTCTGTACATATTTTCATCATTTCAGAAGCTGACGTCATCAAGGAGAAAGTTAAACCGGCTCCTGTAAAGAAAGGTATGAATATTAGTGAAATCCTCCTGCATATGCTGTTTTTTTTCCTCTGAATGATGACTGTTGTATGATGATGGTTATTATATTCATGAATTAAAACCGTTTTCTAGGGCCTGAAGTTGCTAAAGAAAAGGTACCTGAACCAGCACCAAGAATAGGTGAGATTTCCACATACAAAACTGAGAAAAATATTTCATATTCAAAAGCTAAAGATGTTAAGAATGTATTAAACTTCATTGTTAGGTATTCTTCAAACTTAAATATTTACCCGATATTTTATTTTATTATTATTTTTTTTATTACAGCACCTGAGATAACCAAAGAAAAGCCAAAGGCAGCACCAAAGAAAGGTAATGCAATTTATTTGTGAAAAACAGTGTCAGAACTATTTTTTTAACTTTCTATTTTTGCCAGTTTTAAGATAATGCTAATGCTTTAAATATTTTATATTATCACCATTATAGAGGCCGAAGTCGTCAAAGAGAAAGCTAAACCATCTCCTGAGATGTGTGCTTTCATTGTAAACTTTTTAGAGTTTTAGAGGAGTATATTGACACTGTATTATGTATTTAGACATCTCTGAATATGTTTATATTTAAAAAATTTCAGAAGTCATCAAGGAGAAACCTAAAACAGTGACTGAAAAGAAAGGTAAGAGTTACCGATGTTGTGGCTTGATATGTGCTGAAATTAAAGGCTAATCTCAAATTTACTCAAATTCAATAAAGATACTAAAGTTTTCTCATTCTGTACATATTTTCATCATTTCAGAAGCTGACGTCATCAAGGAGAAAGTTAAACCGGCTCCTGTAAAGAAAGGTATGAATATTAGTGAAATCCTCCTGCATATGCTGTTTTTTTTCCTCTGAATGATGACTGTTGTATGATGATGGTTATTATATTCATGAATTAAAACCGTTTTCTAGGGCCTGAAGTTGCTAAAGAAAAGGTACCTGAACCAGCACCAAGAATAGGTGAGATTTCCACATACAAAACTGAGAAAAATATTTCATATTCAAAAGCTAAAGATGTTAAGAATGTATTAAACTTCATTGTTAGGTATTCTTCAAACTTAAATATTTACCCGATATTTTATTTTATTATTATTTTTTTTATTACAGCACCTGAGATAACCAAAGAAAAGCCAAAGGCAGCACCAAAGAAAGGTAATGCAATTTATTTGTGAAAAACAGTGTCAGAACTATTTTTTTAACTTTCTATTTTTGCCAGTTTTAAGATAATGCTAATGCTTTAAATATTTTATATTATCACCATTATAGAGGCCGAAGTCGTCAAAGAGAAAGCTAAACCATCTCCTGAGAAGAAAGGTAATAGTTTCTTATTGTAGCTTGATATGTGCTGTCAAGTTAAAGACCAGGCTTTAATTTACTCAAATCAAGTTTTCCTCATTCAACTAAATATTTTTCTTTCAGAAGCTGAAGTCATCAAAAAGAAAGTTAAACCAACTCCTGTAAAGAAAGGTATGGATGACAGTGAAAGCATCCTGCATATGCTGTTTTTATTTATGTATGATGATTATTCATTACATGAATTAAAACCGTTTTCTAGAGCCCGAAGTTGCTAAAGAAAAGGCACCTGAACCGGCACCAAAAATAGGTGAGATTTTCCCATAGCAAAAAATGAGAGAAAATATTTTATCTCAGCATTTCAAAAACGAAATATATTAAGAATGTATTGGAGTCCATTGTCAGACTTGTTTGAAACTGAAATATCTGCCTGATTTTCTAAAATGGTTTGACGTTAAACCCCCATATTTTGCAGCACATGAGATAGTCAAAGAAAAGCCAAAGCCAGCACCAAAGAAAGGTAATGCAATTCATTTTGAAAGACAACGTCAAAACGTATTTCTATTTTGCCCAGTTTAAGATAATGATAAAGCTTTAAATATATTATATTATCATGATTTTAGAGGCTGAAGTCATCAAAGAGAAACCTAAACCAGTTCCTGAGAAGAAAGGTTTGATTAACTGTTATCAAATTGCCATCATTCTTAAGCCAAATGAAGACTGTGCAAATAAAATGTTTGCTTTCTCTAAACATTCTTATGTTGTCATAATTGCAGAGGCTAAAGTCATCAAGGAGAAAGTTAAGCCAACTCCTGTAAAGAAAGGTATTGATGTGAATAAAATCATACTGTAATGATGTTGCTTCCCAATGAATGATCATTCATCACTTGAAACTGCTCTTTTATAGAGCCTGAAGTTCATAAAGAAAAGGCAAAGCCAGCACCAAAGAAAGGTACTTTTTTTTGTAAGATTAACATCTGATAGAATAAAGTTTAAGCTATATTAAACTATTTAATCATGTTAAATTAAAAGTTTTCCTTATCTGTGTTTTACATTTTATAAATGTTTTTCATCGTCTCTAATTCAGAAGCTGTAGCCATCAAAGAAGAAGCTAAAGCAGCCCCCGTGAAGGAAGGTATGAGTTTATTTGATTCTATTTTTAGTGTGATATCCTGTGAAGCAAATCAGGTTTCAGCCTCTTAAAATAATTTGGTTATTTTAGTTGAGTCATCAATTTTTAGCCAAGCCATAGGGCTTTTTTCAATGTTTTTTATTACTCTTATTATTTTAGAGGCTGAAATTTTCAAAGAGAAAGCTAAAGCAACCCCTGTGAAGAAAGGTTTGATTTACATACTATGCTCACAATCACATTACCACTGTTCCCAAGCAGAATATTATATCATGCTATATTACGTTTTTAATTTGCTCTAAATGTTATTTTATGAATGTTTTAGAGGCTGAAGTCATCGAGGAGAAAGCTAAACCAGCTCCTGAGAAGAAAGGTTAGAATTACCAATATTTTATCTCCAATTTAAAGAAATTATAAAAAAAATAATTGAAAGAAAAAAATCTTCATATTATTGCCTTTTCAGTGTCTGAAGTCTTCAAGGAGAAAGTTAAGCAAGCGCCTCTAAAGCAAGGTATGGATGTCAATGAAATCATGCTGCATGTAGTATTGCTTTCTTTTGTATGATTATTATATAAAATGATTATCACATGAAACAATACTGTTTTATAGAGCCTGAAGTCTCAAAAGAAAAGTTATTAGAGCCAACACCTAAAAAAAAAGGTGAGACCTTCGCATGTCTTTTACAAAATGTACTTATAATACTGTTGTTGTTTTTTTGATAGTGGTAATGAATAATTAAAGCTTACATTTCACCAAGTTTCAAAACACTTCTGAATACACAGATGATGTTGGTCTTATTGGTTTGGACTTGGAACTCCTGAACTCTATCAACCAAAAACTGTCTCTTCTGGACTTACTGAGGAAGGACATTGGTGAAATGAAGAGTGATCTGGAGTCCACTCAAAATCAAATCACACTTTTACGGATGGACAACAGAACAATCAAAGGTATTTTGTCCATGTTAGAACTACGGTGGATTTTGACATTATCAGGCTGAAAAAAAAGGCTTGAAATTTCTTGGCTTACGTTAAACCACATGCTGCTTGTGTCTCTTACAGAGCCAGAGACTGTAAAGGTGAAAGCAGCGGTGTCCAAGGAAAAGCTGAAAACAGCAAAAAAAGGTATTAAAGCTTTTCAATTACACAAGCTGGTCATGAATTGTAGACATAACGAGCTACAACTAAACAGGGTCTGATTGCCCCTGTAATGTTCACATGCGAGTGAGTGAAAGATTTTTCTTTTCTAGACCGTGATGCTCTGATGAACGTTACTAAGACAGCACATATTAAAACAGGTAATTCTCGTACACAACCTATTATTTTACTTGTTTATTCTCAGGATTTATTTTTTTTTTAAAGTTGCCAGATACAGTTTATTATATATTATATTATATGCTTTTATCATAAAAGCAATATTAGAATATTCTACATGATGCACTTTCAGTCAGATTGGCTCTTCTGCTTATGTATAATGTGTACTGTATATGTATGTATAATATGTATAATTTATTTTATGACTTACTGATTTTGTCTTTTTACCCGCTCTGTACTTTACATATATGTGACCCTGGACCACAAAACCTTAAGTCTTAAGTCGCTGGGGTATATTTATAGCAATAGCCAAAAATACATTGTATGGGTCAAAATTATCGATTTTTATTTTATGTAAAAAATCATTAGGATAATAAGTAAAGATCATGTTCCATGAAGATATTTTGTAAATTTCCTACTGTAAATATATCAAAACTTAATTTTTGATTAGTAATATGCATTGCTAAGAACTTCATTTGGACAACTTTAAAGGCAATTTTCTCAATATTTTCATTTTTTTTTTGCACCCTCAGATTCCAGATTTTCAAATAATTGTATCTCG